TTAGAACACTTACTTAACACTAGACACCAAATAAGAGCTAAGCGCTCTTTTAAATTTTACTACTCTGTATCGAAGCGGATCCCTAAAGGTCTCAAATGGCATTTGCTTACTACGGCTGAAGCCATTGCAATCAGACGGCTACAGCCAGAACTGTGTAAACAGTAGACTTTTGTACAAGCCATTATCTTGCCGTGAGTTTAGCCTAGTCATATAACCTTAGGGCAATCGATCTGTTGTAGTTTGTTTGATTTGAACCATTGTACATCCACTACCTTACAATGGCTGGTTGGAAATAGCGTTATGTTCATTTGATTGCTAGCATCATAATTGTACGCGCCTGATGTGCATTGTCGAAAAGAAAGTCCTTCTCGCCAATTATCTTCTAATTGTATCTTTGTTATGCTGATGATTGCAACCGACCTTACCGTAACACATATTTAGGTAAAAGACTGATGGCTGGCCTGCCGAACAACCTCCTCGTGGTACCAGCTGGGTGGTAGAGGTTTTTCCCGTTCCAGCAAATGGTTCGGCGGCAGTGTTGCAGGACGTGGTGGGTTTTCGTGTGGCAAGCGTTCTCCCTATAAAAAGCCACAAATGTCTGTTTAACAACACTGCCGGTTCTTTGTCTAGTTAATAGACTGTTGAGATTACATACATACATAACAACACTGTGACGTGGCTGATGTGACACGCCACTAAATAAAGTCACTGCCCCTTGCCGCTCCCTGAGAGGCATTGTACTTCAAGAGTGCGTTGGGCCCCTGGTAGTTCACGGACCGAAAGGCGTAAGAACCATCGATTAGGTCACCGGCTGCCAACGGGTTGCGACGCCCTCACATCGCCATGCTGTCTTGTAGGTTAGACCTTTGATCAAAGGCTTGGGGTAGGGCCTCCTAAGACAACCCTCTAGTTCGGCCTAAGCAACCGGTTAGTATCATGCCCACTGACGAATCATGGACCATACGGCTTACTACTGCTCCTGCTATGCATATCTTCTATGCTAACTCAACTGCCCAACCTCCACTCACAAATCACTCCACCTCCCGTCCTTCACCTATATGTATTCTTATGTCTTCTACGGTCACCTTCACAAGCGACCCACGTCCCGCAACTAATGAAAACAACAGCTGAACTCCCGGTTTTAAATGTCGTACGATCGCAACCGCCTCTCACTCCACCGAAGCTGTAGCTCTCCTTTGACCTGGTTCTACATTCATCCTCGCAGCGTTTACTTTTCGAACTTGAATGCAGATCGGACGACAAGCATGTCTGGCCCGTATTTTTGAAACGCTTTCGGTAGACATCCGTTGCCTTTCAGAGACCAGAATACAAGACTGTATCGCCGTCATTGGAATGGCCTGTCCGGTAAACCTGACGCCAAATACCACTTGCGGCTTTCCGGAGACCAAGAAGCTGCCGCCACTGGCCAAGCTGGTGTTGGGGTTGCACTGAGTGCCAGGGCTGAATCAGCTTTTCTTGACTGGATTCCAGTCAACAGTCGGCTATATGCAGTCAGACTACGAGGTTCATGTAACGTAAGCAAGCGTCTAGACGTTAAGCGTGCCTTGTTCTCGCCTTCGCCTAGGCCCCTACAGACTGCAGCCCGGGATGCAGTTAAAGATAGCTTTTACCAGCAGCTACATGAATTTCTGCGTTCCTCCAAAAGGACTGATATAGTCATACTTGCCGGAGACTTGAACGCACGTGTTGGTCGCCTTCCACCAAGCGAACACCACCTTGGGGGTAGCATTGATCTCTGTGGCAGTCGATCAGACAATGGAGACAGACTGATTGCTCTTTGCTCTAATCATCGCTTGTATCTTTCGAGCACTAGTTTTCGGCACTCGAGAAGACACACTGCTACCTGGCGCCCTCTTTCACAAACGCAAGAGTGCTCCCAGCTTGACCACATAGCAATCAGCTACAGATGGCGCGGAAGCGTAATGGACTGCCGATCGTACTTGTCAACTTATCTAGACTCCGATCACGCATTGGTTCGTGCTAAGATTTGCATGCGTTTCGGAGGATCAACTAAGCGCGCTCACTACCGACCGGACGTCGCAAATCTACAAAACCCTGTGATTACAACCAGGTACCAAGCCTCACTGTCAAGCTTGCTTGGCTCAACTATTGACGGTGATCTCAATTCGCAGTGGGTGCAGATCAAAGATGCTTTAGTTTCCGCCAGTATCGACACTTGTGGAGTTGCCCGTCACATACCGAAGCACTGGACTTCAGCCGTCTCCTTGTCGCAGATGGACAAACGCCGCTTGATCCCGTCGGATTCCAGACACAGTGAAGAACGTCAATCCCTTGATCGAGAGTTGCGCAGGAGTCTGCAAATGGACCGCGAAGCTTCGTGGTGTGATCGTGCTAAGGAGATGGAGCTTTCTAGTCTCTCTGGTAATACCAGAAAACTTTTCCATCTCATTCGAATCATCGAAGGTGTTCGATCTGGTATAAGTGAAACAATATGCGAACAGCATGGCACTTTAATCACTAATCTTCAGCGACAGTCGGAGCGAGGGGCCGAAGATTTTGGCTCTCAGTTTTGTTGGCTCCCAGCTCCATCTGCTACCATTAGCGCTCGCGCTGAGGCAGAGTAGTCTAGCCCAAAGAGCCTCCCTCTCACCAGGAACTCGAGCGGGAGCTCCGCCACATGAAGCGTTATAAAGCTCCTGGCCCTGATTGTATTCCTCCAGCTCTATTTAAAGATGGTGGCGCATCACTGGTTCGAGAAATCGCTGCTTTGTTCTCGAAAATTTTGTAGAAAGAGAAATTTCCATCATCTTAGGGCGAATCGATAGTCGTCTCTACCTTCAAAAAGCGCCTGCGCACAATTTGCTCCAAGTACAGAGGCATAAGCATAGTCCCCATCGTTTGCAAGCTGCTGGTGTCCATCATACTTCGCAGGCTATCCCCGATGCTCGAATCGTTGCAGCGAGAAGAACAAGCTGGGTTTCGCCCTGGTCGCGGCTGCATCGCTCAAATCTTTACACTCCGCCAGATCCTCGAGCTCCGCCATGTGTATCAGAGGCCAATGATTGCTGTGTTCCTGAATATCCCTGCAGCCTTCGATTCTGTCGATCGTAGGATATTGTGGCACTGCCTAATGTGAAATGGTGTCTTCATACTGTTCGCTCTCTATAGTCTGACCTCGGGCAGGGTTAGGGCTTATGGCAAACTTTCGCCTACGTTTGTGGTCTCCAGTGGAGTTCGATAAGGATGCCCTATCTCTCCGTTCCTATTCAACTTTCTCATTGAGGATGTCCTGAAGAACGCACTGGGCGATTCGTTGGACACTGGTGTTGAGCTCCTCCCAGGTAGTCGAGTTGTTGATTTGGATTATGTTGATGATATCGTCTTGCTGGGTGATGATCCACACGTCGTCCAACTTGCACTAAACCGCTGGGTGACTGAAGCATCAAAGTATGGTATGTACCTTTCGCCATCCAAATGCAAGGCTCACTTCCAAGGCTGGCAGGTGCCTCCACCTGAATTCATTCTTGGTGGTGAGACATTAGAGGTTGTGGAGAGCTTTGTCCACTTGGGAACTTGCATCACTGCTGGCGCGGCTGTTGGAGACGAGATTTCGATGCGCATCTCGAGAGCACGCCTTGCTTTTTCTAGGCTGAGGCACTTGTGCCGTCGCCACGACATTCGTCTCTCCATCATAGGGCGGGTCTATTGTGCAACTGTTCGTGCTGTATTGTTGTACCGACGCGAGACCTGGCCCATTCGTAAAGATGACTTGTGTAGGCTATCCGTCTTCGAGCACCGCTGTCTGCGGTCCATTGCCCGTGTCTGGTGGCAACACCAAGTAAGCAATGTGGAAGTTAGACAGCATGTCTTGGGACGTGGAAGCCACTCACTCAAGGAGCTCGTCTCACTGCGTCAACTTCGCTAGTTGGGACACGTATTGCGCATGCCTGTGCAGCGTTACACGCGTCGTGCGTTGTTTGCGGTTGCTGAACAGGGCTGGAAGGGATGGTCTGGTGGACAGCGTACAACTTGGAGAAGCCGCATGAAAAAGATGACGAAACAGTTGGCCTCGGCCGGTTGTTGTCGACTACCTGGTTGGGGTCCGAGAGGTGCGGATACTTGCTGGTTGAAGACCTTGGAAGTCGTGTCTCAAGATCAATGTCAATGGCGGACGGGGGCATCGGTGTGTTGGGGCGTCCCTTTTTCCTCCCCCTATGAAAGAAAAAAACTAAAAATATTTCAAAAACGGTGAGTGATAAACTAGACAAAAAAGCTTTTGTTGTTGTTGCTCTTTTCTTATTATTCATACTGTTTTCCTATTCAAACATGATTCCGATGACACAATATCTGCACCACAGATTGGGTATAACATGTATATACATATATATATATATAATCGAAAATTTTTCGGTTGGAGCTTCGTGTTTTGTTCCTCGTTCTGGACTTGACGTAATTGGCTGCTAATTTGAAGAGAACAAATGCAAAGACAAATGCGAAATGTTTTCCTTTATCGCCACGTTTTCTGTAATTGCGCTTCAACTGGGCCTTTATCTTTTATGGTTTCAGAAACTTTTTTGGAAGTACGATAACAAAATGATAACGCAAATGTCTCAAGTGCAATCCAAGAGAAATGAAAGCGCTGGACTTCTGTTATTTTATCTCCTCTACAGCACTGGTTCGGATATTGCCAGCGAGGATCGTGGTGTAAACGAGTAAGCCGTCAGTAAAGCGCAAAGATCACGGGTTAGGTATGCAAGTGAAACCTCACAAACTCCACTCTAGAAAGCGTATTGATTTTACTTGGGAGAGTGATTGCTGCATAAAAGCTGCAATAGACCAAATGTCAGATGCTCTCCCCTTGCTATGCTTCAACGGCATTGCCATGTAACTAGGGTTTGTGGGTCACGCTAGCAGAGCAAATCACCAATCCCTGTGGACATGGTTAGAACGGCTTTAACGATCCGATGTGCTACACGCAACCTGTCCCTGTCTGGTCATGTGATTGAATGGGAGAGGTTAAGTGAACCCGATTGGATGGCTGGCTGCCCATTTCAGACATCGATGTAGAAAGGATATGTAAGAGAATGGAACGTCGTGTTAGTTAACTATGCACAGTTGCCTGACGCTGGTGGATTACACCTGCCGCGAAGGTGAAGACAGTGACTTGGCCTCGCCTACAGGATGCGCAAAGGAAACAGCCATGCGTTGGAGACGTATTACACGCTCCTTGGATGTGCATGCATCAGACCAAAGCTCATTGAGGGAAGATAGAACCGCGATGCTCTTGAGGACTAATCGTTCATTCAGAACGAACCTTGGTAGATCATCGGAAGGCACGGTTACAGAAACAAGCCGTCCGCGTCAAGACTCAGTTCTGCTACTATCTAGCAGACAAAGGCCCACTTATATGGTTTCCCGTCGCCTGTCACGCGGCCCCAGTAGGATCTGGGCCCCTGTTGGTCACTGCAGATATTTACTGGATAGAGATCCTAGAACCGGTGAGATCCAATGGAGTCCGGAATCTAACGAAGTCTTTTGTAGTCCAAGGTAAGTAACAACTCTCGTCTAATTAAAAAGATGTCGGAAAAATGATGAATGGTTGGTGCCATAGACTTTAGTGTTTTTTATAGGTTCGAGCCATTACATGGTCGGTACATCACCGTCTCTAATGGCCCATTGTAGTAGCACTCCTTCACTATATCAGACTTGAATCGATTTAACCTTGTTCATTAGGTAGATTTCACCCATTAACAAGTAGGCTAGCTTCACAATTTTGGCTAGTATGTCATATAAAACAGCTTCATATTGTACCATTGTCGTTTGAAGTGGTTCCCTGTAATTTTCTTCAGGTTATCTGCCGTTCCAAACATTGGGAGTTTGCTCAGCGGAAGCCGCATTATATTTTAGACCTTACGGGCATCCACTTATTTAGGGCTACAGCATTTGAATGACCCTGAACGCTAACTTTATCTGACGGTTGCACGTTAGCGAGATAGTTAGACTTCACTTGAACCTGTGATTAACAAAGTGATCCGTTTGGGTTTCTGCAAAGCTCACTGTTTTTATAACGAACGTCCAGACCGCCAGTTATTATGACATGGAACATAACTGTGCTAACCATTGACCACCCAATGAGAGACAAAAGCTTTCAGTTCATCAAACAGACTGTGGAGTGTCGCACCATTAATAACTACGTACATGTATAAAGGTAGAGTGGAATGTGAAGATTCGGAGCTTTTCCCTTTTAACACTACTCCAAAACCCAACAATAAAGTGGAAGGTATTGCACAATCACATTTGCATACCTTAGCTAGTAGATTGTATCAGGTAGAAAGCTAAGAAACGGACACGTTTGTACAATCTACACCAGTTGAAGGTTGGTCCAGAAGTATCTCCAACCACAAGTGTTCCCTCTGAAGTGCCTACTTGCTTGAACAGGTTCCCAGACCGGAACATCTTTAGATAGTGGCCGTACTGCGTAGGATCGCATACTTTATTTTCTGAGCACACACTGATAAGGTAGTGTCTGCAATGAATACAGTTGACCTACCGTACTGTCTACTAAGTGTCGAGAATGAGAGAAAACGGGACTTCCCCCCTTTCGAATGATCGCTCTGGTTCAGCAACTATCGTCATACGTGTGAGTATGGTTCTAATCCGAATCCCAGCAGTTAGCGGAAAATAATTGCAGTAAATAAGTTTGATGAAGGAACATGGTATGATGTCTACTAGAGAAAACCTTGTGAAAATGTCAGTCGCAGTCAGTGCGCCGCTTGTCCTACAAATAGTACACAATTCTTTCAGTCAATAGTTTCTGATCTCAACCAAGCATTTGCTTCAGTTTTCGGTGGACAACAGCAACACTGGTTTCCTTATTTGCGGAATCACGTAGGCATACTTGTGGAGTTATTAGGATGCGAGCCACAAGCAGAACAAAACACAAATCCTCGTTTTATTATTTTCCCGCCGTTTATCTGTTATGTTATGAAATCCCCAGTGGCGAAGTACTTTAACATGAAAGCAAATTCAGGTGCGAGAGCTGTGTGGATCTGGAATGTTAGGTATTGTCTCCACGGCTCATGCATGACACTACTGGTTTCATGCGTCCCGTCTAGGGCCGGATGGCAAGCACAAATAAAGTGGCGTCCTCAGTAATTGAGAATTGTGCAATGACGGTAGCACACTTGCCTTGCGTATGTAATAAAACAGGCCGAAATTGGGCACATGCGGTTCTTGCAACAGTCGCTTCAACACTTTTGCTTGTAACTTCATACCAAGTTTAGGTCAATATAGATAAAAAGCCGTGTCTTTATTAGTCGTCGCCACTTATTGACCACTAGTAATTATAATAATATTCTGTATCTCTCGGTGAATTCAGACGCAGTCCTTTTACGAGTTCTGGACACCGTACACATGAATGGGACAAAAGTGGCTCAGAATGGATAAAGCAAATTCTCGGGAGCGCTATAATGAGTAGTATACGTCGGTCGTAGTTGACAAGGAGAACGTAACTGCAGGTATCTTAAAAGGTTGTTTCGCTTATTTGCTGATCAGGTGCACGGACGCTTACTGTTAGCTTCCAGTTTCCTTGGTGCAGTCACAATCGAACGATTCAGAAACGTTTGCTAATGTTTCGGTCTATACTGGCAAAGCATCACCGGAGATCTTGTCCTCAGCAAAAACCACAGTGCATGGCAGAAAGCATCAAGGCGATTAACCATTTGGGTCCAGAGAAATTGTTATGCGAATCGTGGTAATAACATTGAAAGCGACTTCAGTAGAATGAATCGTATAAATAGTGAAAACGTGCTAATGAATACATAAATATAGAGAGTTACAATAAGACTGAATACTTGTAGCTCGGGTTGACGGTTGAAGTGTTTATTGGTTTTTCGATCTGAGCAATCTGATTGCAGACATTTTGCCACCAATCAAGGTAACATCTTCAGGACGGAAGGGGCAAGTAGCTTTTTAGCAGACACTGAGCCCAATATCAGTGATCAATTGTGCTGTGATGTTTCCACCCAGTAATATTCTCCTACGAAACACGCTGACCTGCATATCGTTATTATCGAAAATACAGAAACGCAAATTGTCGATTCGCACTGGTGTCCTATATATCAGCGAAATGTTGATGTTAGTTTACTAGCACTATTTTACCGCACTCTAGTGTTCAACTTGGAATTGGATCACCCCTTAGTTTCTGTTAGGGAACGAGTCCTGACACGGCCATGTAATCAGGTTATTTTGTGCCGAAATTCAGCGCACACACAATCGAAGTCTTTGCTTCACTTAGTGAATTGTTCAAGGTGCTTGTCAAAAGTAATCATCTAGTTACCGCCATACAACCATGTCACCGCTATCACGCGATTCTGAGTGGGTGATGGATCACCTGATTTAGAACTTGTGCTAAACAACGAGGATCCTTTGGTCGAAACCGTGGTCATAGATGCACCGCTTAATCACATCGACCATGCGACGGTGCTCTTCTGTTACATCCGCTAGGAGAAATACATTAGTAGAAATAACGAAGAAACCCATGTTACCACCCATTACGATATCCCATCTGACCTGATCCAAGCAACTAACCTGTGTTTTCTGGCCCAGTAGGCACCCGAAGTGGTATGAAGGGGATTTGTCACCCAGTTCACCGTGCTAGTACCAAATGCTGTCGGGAATTAAACTATTTCGTCCGAAGCAAAACAAACCCCTATCCTGAGGAGCCGGACTCAAAATTGTATTATATTAGGGATTCCGCCTGGCGCGATTATAAAGTTTGCTCTAGCGGACATACCTAGGTTTGTAGCATAACTCAGTAAAATCACTGTGTCAAGTTGATCCATGAAGACAAACTCCAGAACCAACAAGATTTAACGATGAAATGCTGTACTAAACCTAAGATCTGTACAGGCACGTCAAGAAGCACCGCGCAGTGCAACGCGATATCCCAGTTTAGCATGCAACAGATGGTCTGGTGCTAACCACACGTGAGGCGGCAGACGCGCTTCGGCAACCATTCATCCGCACTTTCCAGGAGGAGTTGGCATCTTATTCGTTTTCCACACGGATCACATCGTCACCAGGATTAAAGAAGTGGTAAAGGATTTAAAGAAACATGCTCTAAAAGCCTCGGCCACAGCGTTTATGGAATTAGTATTATTATCATTATTATTATCATTATTATTATTAATATCACTATACTTCTCCTTATGCGAGAAACTGTATGTGTAGCGCCACCTATCAATTTGCACATAAGTATTCATGCTGTTGCACGGACGATATGAATAAGTGGAATATTGGAATCTGCGTTTCATATAATTGCCTTCTGGTGGATGGTTGAGATAAAAGCTTAGTTTTGAAAATATGGTTTTTATATGTTTTTGGGCCCTTCCAGTAGCAGCTTATCGAGGAATCTTTCCGATGTGAATATAGGGATTATGGTATTTAGATCAAGGTAACTGGAGAGTCTGCTTCTAAATGTTGCCACAATGTCACATACCCTGAATGTAAATGGTAGTTTATTACACAGACAGAGTTATATCTGACCAGGAAGCAATTAGAGCGAACGTTCGTTCTAGCCTTTGGTATATTCTGTGTAAAAATTTGATTCCGGAGCGCTCGAGTTGAACTATGTTGTACTTCGACTGTAGATAGGTCGGAATAGGTCTGTTTGTGTGGCAGTTAAGCCAAGTTATGCTTCAATCGTCGAGTCCAAAGTGCTTCAATTTGAAATTCGTTGCAACGCTCTCGATAAGTCATGATAAAGTACTTACCAATCAGATGTTTAGTAAAAAACCTCTGCAGTTGTTCCACAGCAATTCTGTCATCCTTGCTCATATTGCCGTATATTATGCTGCAGTATTCCAGAATGGAGCGATTGAGTAGTTTGAAAAGCTCAACTCAAGCATGGTTTGTGTAGATTTCGTTGCGCAGATTTTACACAGATTGTCTGTCACGTGCTACTTGGTGCTGGGCCTGTTCGGAGAAATTGATGATAGATGAGTACCTGATTACGAGATCACGTGTGGACAGCTGTGTAGGGACGAGTTCAGGGTTTAGTGTGATAGATCCTTCCGAATGGAACAGCCTTAAGACATGATGCTTGCATACTTAGTCGAGTGGTTCAACATCCACGCATGGCGTCATGACTCAAGAGAATGTAAGTCATTTGGAATGCGCAGTAACGTTCCTCGAAGATCATCACACCGAAACTTATACTTGATGTTGATAACGTGGGCACATACAAATGGCCATCCAAGTTTTATAAATGCGGTGATGTCACTGATGTAGAGCAGAAACGGTGAAGGACCGAGCACGCTTCCTTGGATGATCCCACTAGCGATAGTCAACTAAAGTGACTACTTGGATTGGAAATCCAATGGGGTTTCCCCGCGTAGGTTCATCCTGCCCGCGACGCCACAATGTTGTATCAAGAAAGCCGTAGGAAAGATAAAATGTATCTCGCAAAATTAACCAAGTACAACTGAGTCAATCCCTTGTTAAACGGAGAGTCAAGCGACAGACGCACACAACCAATAGTAATGAGT